CAGGCAGTTTGAAGGGTAGCTCTGCCTGGTAGCTTGGCACAGTGGCTTCACTCTATTTCTGGGGGAGAATAGAATGTCTAATTGTGAGGTCTGTCTCCAGTGATGAACCTCTTAGTCTGATTCTTGGGAAGGTGCAGGCTGGCGTAGGTGGAATCCTGTGTGCATGAGAGGATCCAACCTAGTGGCTAGTCAGTAAAGGCCTGAAGCTATAACCAGCTTAAATGTGTGTACCTCAGCCAGGTTTCTCCTTTGAGTACCTGGAGAACTGTGCTGTTGATCTGTTCTTTGAAACCGACATGTATATAAATAAATCTTCTTTGTTCTTAACATACAACTCCTGCCTCAGTGACCTCTGTGTTTTCTACTTGCTCACCACAAGACTTACCTCACAGTAGTGAACCCAAAGTCTTTACACTTGCTACCCTAAGAAGATCTTGTAACCAAGAGGAAAGTTTGGTTTCCCAAAATCATAAGAGGCTGTGTGCGTCCCCTCACTTGGAAGAAAAGGCCCTTCACAGATACATACAAAAATCAGCCTGTGGCTGGCAGGGGAAGGGCAGGCTGCTCAGTGCAGAAGATGGTACCAGAAGCAGTCTCTACAAAAATGGCCCTGGAAAATGGCCCTCTTCTGGCCTGTCCCCCAATGGAAAAGGGCAAGAGGAAGAACAGGCTCACTGTGGCTGCTGCTCTTGCATGGTTTGCACCATTGGCTTGCTTTGGTGGCTGCTGCCGCAACTCAGGCTGGCTCCCAGCTCTTGACTGCTCAGGCCAGCATGCAGTTCTGGTCAGCTGCTCCAGGCTTCATCCCTCACTGCTGAGAGTCTGCACTGCTCCTCAAGTAGCAGCAACAGAGGCCAGCCCGACAATAGCCCTCCTACCAGAGGCAAGGTGGCAAGGGATGGACAGAGGTTGGAGGGAGGGGTTCACACTGTTGCTTCTGCTATATGAAAGACAACCTGTCAGTGGTGAGGAAGGGAGGCTGGAGGGAGATCAGCAAAATTCGTTGTTGGGTGGGTGGAGACCACACCCTCCCTCATTCCTGACTCCATCAGTGTCCTGTGGCTCTGCAGCCAACCTCAGCCCCTTTCTGCCATTGACTGCCTCTACTGCTGATTGCCTGAGCCACTGCAGCTGTGACTCAGGTGCCACAGTGGCCAGAAACAGGTGGAGGCTGCATGCTGGTTGGGGGGCAGCACAGATGTCCCATGGCTAAGTCACCCCCTTGAGTGCCTCATTCAAGTAGTGTAGAGGTTCAGAAGCCTGCCCTGGACTGGATTTTCCTGATTTCCCCTTGGAAATACTGCCAGCAGAATAGTAGGGCAGTGTATGCACTTACTTGTTGCCTTCACAATACTTATGTTTAATCTTAAAAAGAGTGATTCATCATGTCTCCTGCTTATTGGTTTTGATATACATACCAGGCAAAATTGTTCTGATTGCACCGAACTGAGACAAGAATCAGGGTTATCTTATTCTTGAGATTGAATTTTTTAAATTGCTAGAAAAGTAGAGAATTCCCGTACGGGTTGTCAAGATGTGCCAGATGTGTCTGTGGGTTATTGCATTGTATATATTAAACAAGTTTATGCTCATTGAGTTTTGCCCTGTAGAACAAAATAAGCAGACACATGCTGAATGAATGTCTCCTTTAGTTATTTAGTAATGGTAAGCAAAAAATATTGACTTATGTGTAAGTTCAGTAATAGTTAACAGGTTCAGTGGTGCTATGTTTAAGGACTCAAGGTATGGAGAAATTATTATAATTTGCATGTCTTCAAGCTGTAAATCTGTTGTAAGAAACCTCTTTGCTGGGTTGTGCAGTATCCTCTTGGTAGCTGCAGTTTTTACAAAAGATAGGTAAATTCACTAGGCATATATCCTGTCCAGGTTCCATTGAAATGAATGGGAGATGCATCATGTTTAATGTCTGCTTTCACCTTGCTGAAACTGTGCTCTTATATAACTTGAACACAGGAACCTGCTTTATGCTAGCCCTGCTCACCTGTTAAAGTGAACACATATACATCCGGCATGTATATGTATATATCTATTTGTAAGAAAGAGCCACCTCTTTGTTAGGGATTATTAGAAAAGGGATTAAGGCAAATTCTGTGTTAGGGATTATTAGGAAAGGGATTGAGAATAAAATGGCTAATATTGTATTGCCCCTGCATAGATCAATGGTTCAGCCTCATTTAAAATACTGTGTACAGTTCTGGTCACTGTATCTCTAAAAGGACATTGCAGAGCTGAAAAAAAGCACAGAGGAAGGCAACCAAGATGATTAGGGGGTTGGAGCACTTTTCCTTTGAGGAAAGGCTGAAGAGTCTGAGACTTTTCTATTTAGAAAAGAGATGACTAAAAGGGGACACGGCGAGGTTTATAAAATTATGCATGGGGTGGAGAGAGTTCACAAAGAGAAATTTTTCTCCCTCCCTAGAACTCAAGGGCATCCAGTGAAATTGATGGTCAGTAGGTTCAGGATGGACAAAAGGAAATACTACGCTACACAGAGAGTGATTAAAATGTGGAATTCGCTGCCAGACAATGTAGTGATGGCTACAGGAATGAACAGCTTTAAAGGCGATTAGATAGATTCATGGAGGATAAGTCTGTCAGTGGCTACTAGCCATGTGACTGAGGGAACCTTCACATTCAGAGGCACTAATCCTCTGAATCCCAGAGCCAGGAGGCAACAACAAGAGAAGGCTTTGGCCTCTATGTCCTATTGTTGGCTGTCCAGAGGAACTGGTTGGCCACTGTGTGAGACAGGATGCTGGACTAGATGGACTATTGGTCTGATCCACTGTGCATGGACTGTACATGTTTGCTGTAACTTGTGAAAATGGCTATTTATTCAGACCATTGGTCCATCAAGGTCAGTTTTGTCTATTCAGACAAGGAGCACCTCTCCACTGTCTCAGGTGGATGTCTCCCGCATTACCGACCACCTGATCTGGAGATGCTGAGGAGAATCTCAGCCTAACCTATCTAACAGGGTTGTGAGGATAAAATAGTAGTAGTAGTAGTAAAATTTATTGTATAGCCATTGGCCATTACAATTTAAAATTTAAATTTAAACAATATACAAATTAGACAACTTACAGCACTGGAATTTGAATTAGATTTAAAATATAATAAACTCTAAAATCTGCACATTCAGTATTTAAATTAATTAAAATCTTAAATATAGATATCCATCTCCAGAAACACATACACATTGCCATTATACATTGCCGTTTTACAGTTCAATTTCATTTCATTTTCCTATGTTCTTGGCCCTGATTTTACTAGCCGCTAAGGCAAAGAGTGCTACCCTATAGGAAACTGTAGGGTCTGCACCTGACAGCAGAAATATTAATTTATCGGTGTCAGAAAAGTTTTGCAATTGATCTGTTCTTGCAGGCAAGAATTTACATCTCGACTCTCAGTACAATGGGCAGACCATGACATAATGAAAAGGATCCTCCACAGAAGTTTTACAGATACAAATACGTTGTTCCTGGGGTATTTTAAGTATTGGTCCAGGAGTAATTCTGTTGGCATAGTCTGGAAACGCAATCTGTAAATGCTGTTCTAAACTTGTGCGCGGTAATATTTACCAGGTATGCAGCTCTTAAATGATCTTTCTTTATGTCTTTGTACCAGGGAGCAAATTTTGACTGAGTGATTAAAGAATAATCTATTATGGCATCTCCATTAAACACCCATTGCCTCAGATCATGGTTGTTTCCTAAAGATCACAGTAAATCATCTGGAATTGTATAATGGGAAATGATGTTATGAACAAAATCAGAGCGAATTTTATCTTTACTTAGTGACAAACAATAGCTACGTTTACCAAGAGATTCAGTTTGCATCGATTGTTATTTCTTCCATGATTTAATACAGCTAGATGAGCGCGAGCCCTAATTGAGGGGAGGCCAAGTTCGCCCCTTAATAGAGCTGCTGGTGACCCTTTTGGAAGTACCAAGATACGCCTTAAAAAAAGATTTTGGATTACCTCCAAGCTAGAAAGTGTTTGTTCTTTCAACCCCCAAAGTTCTATACCATATAGTATATGCGAGATTACTTTGCTGACAAAAAGTTTGAGGGCTGGATCTATTAGTAGACCTCCCTTGTTGTAATAGAATCTCAGTACCACACCAATGATCTTATTTGCTGAAGATTTTAAGGAGGCAATGTGGGCATTCCAGCTCAAGGTTTCACTGAATATTAGACCCAAATATTTGTAATTTTTACTCTGTTCTATTGGAGTACCTTGTATACTCCAAGAATACTTTTTAAGGCTTTAGTTTTTGAGTAGTTGATGGTAAGCTTTTCTTCTCTACAGTAGTCCCCCATGTTATCCAAAAGCCTCTTTAATCCAATCCTGGTTAGAGAAACTAGGACCATATCATCTGCATATAGTAATATTGATAATTTTTGTTGACCTAATGTTGGTAGAACAAATTCTGGGCTGGTTAGTCTTGCTACAATATCATTTATATATAAGTTAAAAAGTACAGGGGCTAACACACAGCCCTGCTTGACTCCTTTGCAAGTCGGTATTTTGCTGGTCATTGAGCCTGAGGTACCTACTCTAATTTTTGCATATGTTTCTGTACATAGCTCACGAATAAGGAACAACAGTCTTTTATCTATATTAGTTTTCATCAGCTTGTCCCAGAGTCGGTTTCTATCAATTGAATCAAAGGCTGTGGCCATATCAACGAGTACAGTGTATAGGGCTTTAGTCGGACCTTTTATGGCTGAGTGAACCAGCTGATAAAGAGTATGGCAATGGTCAATTGTCCCTTGGCCCTTTCTAAATTCTGCCTGTTGGGGGATATATGATATTATCATCAGCAATCCAGTTCTCCTATTTTTTCAGAAGATATTTCCCATACAGTTTGGATGCTGTATCAAGGAGGCTTATGGGGTGATAGTTTTTTGGGTCTGTTTTGTCCCCCTTTTTATGTATGGGGACTACTATACTGGTTTTCCACCCTATTGGGAATATGCCTGTGCTATTTATTTGGTTAAACAGTTTAGTGAGTATTGGGGTCCGATAAAATAGTAGAGAGGAGAACATTTTATACCACATTTGGGGGGGAAAGTGGGATATAAATACATAATTGAATAAATACATAAAAGCAGTATGAAAGGTCATCATAGCACTGATCCAATGATCCACTGTTTGTACATGAAGTTTCTCATCTAGAATAAATTCCATATGCAGTTCAATGGGGGATTATATGTACCTATACCCTGTTGCGTGTGTTGACTGGCTTCCACCATGAAAGGAGTACAGGATCCTGCCTGAGAAACTCTCTCCATCAGAGCCCCTATAGGACTATGAATTGAGATACAAATATTTTTCCTAGTTGAAAAACACGTATTTCTAGTAATATGTTGTGTGTTTTCTCCATTACAGCGCAAGACTGTTATTCTGGTAGGTACTGTGGCAGCATTGTTGTTCCTGATCGTTGTTCGTCTTAAGAACCAAGTCAGCTTTCCTCTGATCCTCAACTGTTTTGGTCAAACCAGTGTCAAATGGATGCCATTCTCCTATACTCAGAGACGACCTCTAAGGACCCACTATGGCTATATTAACGTGAGAACTGAAGAGGTAAAAAAATCATATTAAAGAACATAATGTAATATACTTATGCATATAATTTTAAAGAGTGTGTGGACTATTATTTTTCTTATGCAATAGAAAAATTATGAATATCTAAAGGGTTAACCCCTTGGGCATGAACTAGTGTGAACTGATCTTCAAGCCAGTTCTGAATGTTTGTTTTGTGTTGTGATTCTGTTTCCTCAGGCATTTACATTTTAACTGGTGAACAGACTGAGTACCCTGCTAATTGACCTAGATTGTTCAAGAAAACAGTTGCCCAATTCATATAGCATCCTAAACAGCAAAAATATGAAAGCCATCCTGTGGTTATTTCAAAGCCCTCTAGTTTCAAAAATAGCTTGCCAGAACTGTGAGGGTCTCCTTTATGAAAAAAAGAAGTTTAAAAAGCCCTGCTGGGTGCATGGATTTTAGCCTCACTGTTCCCTGGTGTTATGTACATAGTAGATGAAAACCTAGCTGTATAATCAGAAGCTAGCTCCTGCCTGAGCTTTTTCACTGCACTACTGCAGGATATAGAAATTATCTTTCAGAATAGCGAAATGACTATTTTCCTTTCAAAAGGCAGGAGTATATTACTTGTGGCGCAGCACCTTTATTGTAAAGACCTCTCTCTTAAACAAACACAACCTCTTTATAATGCAATATAATTAAATGTTCATGTTCTTATTTAGCGTAAACCACCAAGAAATGCATGTCTGGCTAACTTTGATTAAAGCTGTGCATGATAAGATGCTGTTGCTATGGCCTCCTGGAGTTGTAGCTATAGCAACAGTTAGGAGAAAGTTTTATGTACAGTTACATCCCATATTTGATGTAAATCAGATATTATTATAGTCTTAGGGCTTACATATATTTCAAGGTTACCTTGCTCATTTTTTTGGTACAATATTCTACAGCAACACATCTGGCAAAGAGTTGCATTGCGTTTGGCCAGTTTTTTCTTCCCCTGCTACTGTATCTTTTAGGCTCATTTTAGAGCAATCGGGCTGTGTATAAGCATGGTTTGATTTCTGATAACCTGCTTTTTATGTTAAACAGTTCTGGGAAATCTTACAAAACTTTAGATTTGCAAATAGTATTCTAGATCCAACACATTTTCCCTTGGGAGTACTCTGGTTGAAAGCAGGGATGTGCATCTGGGTAGGACTGGCAAGATATTCTACTTCTGGATGAATTTTATTGACTACTGAAGGTGTCTTCTGGGTTTTTTTTTATCCTGTGCAAAAACATAATTGTGCATACCTCTACAAATGTTCCTCTTGAATTAATGAAAAGTAATATCTGATTTTATGTGCCATTTGCTTAAAACTATAGCTCACCATTTAACCACATGTAGCTGAACAAAGGTGTTCTTTCTGCCTGAGTTTGTTCTATGTATTTACTGGCCCATTATTATGTCTCCTTCCCATGTACCTTTTTCTAGGCTGAATATACATTTTCCTTCAGTCCTTCTTCATGTTTTGTCTAAGCACCTCTACTGTATTTTTATACTCTAATTTAATCAAAATTGTATTAATTACTCTATCATTTGTCATTTTCTCACTTCAGAGCCCAGCACACATAGCTATTAGATGGAACTCATGAGTCCCATAACTGGACTATTGAAGAGTTAAATGGGGCATGGTAGAAGGCCTGTTTCCTACTATGGGAAGAAGAAAATGACACACTGGACATTTAATGTTTTTATCACTCTTTTTGGTGGTCACATACACGTAGCGGGGGGGGGAATCTCAGACTATAATGAAAAGAGAATACCAAATAGCAACTTTTTGTTTTGTAACTAGCTAGTTGGGAAAGGATTACCATCCTCATCACTCTGTTTCTTCACTTGCTGTTAGCATGTATTGCATTTCAGAGACTTAGACTAGCAACACTGATAGATCCTTGTTCACAGGAAGCTTACAGTGAAAAATGGGTAGGGGCAGCAGTGTAAGAGAAATGAGGCAGGAAGGGAAGAGTGTGATCCAGAACCATTTCACATGCTTAACCATTTTGGGAATGAGAAGTAAAGAGATATGCCAAAATGCATGTGAAAAGGTTGGTTTGAAGGAAAGATTCAAAGACAGGGTCATATACATCTTTAGGGAGGAGCATCTGTACTGGGACAGCAAGGGCAAATAGGTGGAATTATTTAAAAGAGACTCATTCAACTGAGAGTGGCAGAATTGGAGGAAAGGAGGTCAGCCATGGAAACTTAAGGATACCAAGGGTCTTGTAAAAATGGTATCTATCTACTTACAAATTAACTTATAAAAGATCTTAGGAAAACTTGTAGGGAATGAGTTTTGAGCCCACTGAAAATAAACTTTTATATTATTATTTTTTCTTTTGAAAGTAAGTACATATTTACCCAACAGGAAGATACTCTGAATAAAAGCTGAGTGCCTTTACAAAAAAAGTTATATAGAAAGGTTTGGTTAACTGTAACTTACACATGTCTTTAAGATGGTCCTCTGGGTGCTTTACTGCACGTATGGGAAAAAAATCCTAGTCTGTCTTTTAGGTAAATGGGGTGTTAGTGTTTAATAAAAAATGACAGGGAGCAATAATGAAAAACTCTCTTCTAATAACTACTTGTTATACAGATCATATGAACTTATGTGCACTTTAACATCAGCTGCAAATAAAAAATGGCTGTTAGAATTTGTTCTATAGCAAGAGACATTTAATAAATTTTAATACTAAAATTGCATCAGAATTACTATTAAAAGCATGTAAGCCTTATGTAAAGGAAGCTGGACAGTATACCTACTGAAAAGTACATTTACAATGGGTTGGATTTGGCATTCTGTAGTCTCTTTTACCAGTCCGAGGGCATCTGGTGGAGGGGGAATGATTTTTTTCTGATTCGTCTTTCCCTGAATTCCAACGGCAGTGTTTCAGGGTCACAGGGAGTGGGACGTAGTGAAGTTTCATTATGTCAGGGGAACTCTGCTCACATAATCATTGGACTCAAATGAGCTGGTCTGATTCAAATTAAATTCTAAGAATTGTCTATTCTCTATACAAAATTCAAGAAATGATCACAGTAGTGCTTTCAAAATGAGTTCAACAAATACAATCATGAGGTGGAATGATTCCCATAATATTTTGAGCTTTTGGTCATACTGAACTTCTAGGATATGTGTGGAAGGGAGCACATTCACATTCCGGGTAATTGTGACTGGGCATGGTGCCACCATATATGACTTTCTCTGGTTGCCTCTTCACCCATGAAAGCCACTGCCATTTCTTTGTTGACAAATTTAGAGGAATCAATGTTTCAGGAATACCGCCTTTTCACTTGTTTTTCAAGGGAGTAGCTGGAATGAAGCAAGGGTCAGAGTCTGATTCAGCCCAACTCTGCTGTTTGTTTACATATTTGCAGTTGCACCTTAGGGGTAGGCCTTACTGCCCTTCCTCCAATTTCCTAGCCTTCTGCTTTTGAAACAGTGACTTTGATTGAAAGGTGGGTAATAATATATGGCAACTGGTTTTGGGATGAATAGTCTGACAGCAAACCTGTTGACTAATTTAAAGCAATAAAAGTAATCCCAACCGAAACAGTTGTTATAATCCTAAACCACAAATTCTACAATTATGGTAGCAAATGTTAAAAAATTTTATTGTTGGCTTTCAAAAAACTTTTGTTTGTTGTGTTCTCCATGTCACAGTTAGCCAAACTGGATGAGCTACATTTCTGTCCTTGCTAAAGTAACTGCTACGTGTCAGGACTTCATACCTCAAACGCTATCTGCCTCTCCAGCTAAGGGACAGTAAACCATAATAACTGCTTCTGCTTCTGCTTCTGAGGATCTACTCCTTGTATATCATCTCAGAATTTTTTACTTTAGAGGTAGGAAAACTTGTATCAGTTTCAGAGGTACTAAGAAATTGCTGGCTGTCAGGAGATACTTTCTTTTAAAAGGTAAGATTATCTCTCCAGAAAGAAAAAAATTATACAGTGGGAGAAAGAGTGTTAAAATAAGAATATCTAGATTAGAAATCAATAGGTAAAATAGTACAGTAAAAGCAGTAAGTGCTACAATATAATTGCCAATCAACTGCTAATGTGACAGAGAAGAGCTAAAAGGGGGTTACTTATACTATGTATCCTAAGCAAATGGGAGGAAAATAATTTAAAATTCAGTGAACAAATCCAGACAGGTTTCCTTTATAATCAACTTTTGAGGGTTATAGAAGGAGTAATTACATTGGTATCCAGTAGCAAATGGAACCAATATCAATTCAATTTAAACACTCGAGGCCAGTTTACATGGTTAAGAAGTGGAAATGTTGTGCATATACTGGAGGCATGTGTGGTATTAGGTGATCACTTGTTCTCATGGGTCTCTCTAATGCTTGACTTTTCCATTTCAAAAACAGATGCATACACATGGGCTTACTACCTATTACTTGTGCTGTATTTCTTTAATTCAAACTATAGAGGCTATATGAGGGCTCTATGCTGGGCTTCTCCACTGTATAGCTCTTATAGAGCTTGACCTGCTACCAGTGACACTCTCAAGTGCCGCAATTCAAGTAACTTCTTTCAGGATTTCTATATACATTCTAGGCTTACCTCATTATTTTTGGTGCTGCTGGAGGGCTATGCCAGATGGCATCATCCCTATGACTTTCCCTCTGTCGTCGAACATTGCATTAAGTTGGTGAAGCTTGAGCTGAAGGTGTTAGTTTATCTGATCTGAGTCTGACTTAGATACAAGTGTGTCTACAGATCATTTATCAAAAGTATCAGAAACTCCCACTTATCAGTTTTCTATGGATTATTTTGAATTGATCTCCCCGTCTAATGTAGACAGAGTCCTTGTGGTTCTGAAGGCTACTACTTACAAATTGGATCCTTGCCATCCTGGTTGATTAAATCTTCAAGGGTTAGGGTTAAGGTTAGCTGCAGGGCTATTTTTGGGCAGGAGCACACAGGAACGGCGTTCCGGCTGGCTTCAGAGTTGGCCATGCCCACTACAGCCAAAACCTCTGTGTGC